GGGGTCAATTGTCTGTAAGATGTGATTTGCTTGCATGCATTTCATAGGTAAATATGTGCATAAAAGTTAGGACTTGCCTACATACCTGGATATTTACATTCACATAGACAATATATCTTCAATTCACATGTAGGACACAAGAATGTATAGTCACAAACTCACAATTCCATGGCAGCAAAAATATTGAATAATCTGTGAACTCCATAAACAATGATATTATAGATCTCTTGTTTTGTTGATATATTGACATATAGAAGGAGATGTAGTCTACAGGAGAGAAGCAACCAGCAATGGTGTTAATGTCACCTCTCCATAGTACCATCGGTCCAAAGGCACTCAAGTAAAAATCAAAACACAAAAACGACAAATGGCACTGGGAGTTTGGAGCCCGCCCATCTGATTTAGATGATCTGGGAAAGAGCAATGATTTTGCCCTCTTGTGGATTTAAAATACAATTAGAAAAGTTCACTGAACTGAGGAATGGGTGTTTTAAGCTCACCCAACTTCCTTAGTTTTGAAAATGAACAAATCCCTTTCAAAACATAATTTAATACATCATATCTATGCAGACATTGCCAATTCAATTTTCTGGTACGCAATAGTTAAAACATAGGAACTTCTAGTACAACATATACATACGCAGGAGTATATATCAGAAAGCATGGTAGAGTTCTTTTGTTATTAAAATGCTCCCTCTTGTGAGTTTAATAGCAGTTTAGGATAAAATCCTGGATCGCTACACCAGTCACTAAAGTTGAGCGTTGGATGGCTTCAAAGATCCAGCTGATGGTGTTAAACTGATGATGCACAGTCAGCTTCCTCGTCAGGACAAAGCTTACACGCAGCCCAGGCCAATTGGGCTGATCAGAAAGTCAAAAGAAATCGAAACCCACCCTATTAGACTTCCTACACACAAGCACTGACACTTCAAACACACACGCGCGCCACCTGTATTATAGGTGTGCTAATGCCTAAAGTGCCAGAACAAATCATGCTCCTATGCACATCACAACAGACATGCGTAAACACATTACAAATTTCTGAAGAAAAGGGTCGGGGTGTCACAAGGCCACATGATTTTAATAGGAAAGACTTCTGGTCATGTGTCATCTAAAAGTATATGCATGCAAGGACCTTTTCTCTCTTGATCTTGGAAACATCTACCTGCCTGGAAAGATGCTAGAAGCATGATGCAGACCAGCGGCAAAGTATTTTTCCTCCTAAGAAGCTACTCCCTCCGTTCCAAAATAGATAACTCAACTTCGTATTAAAGTTAGTACAAAGTTGAGTCATCTATTTTGGAATGGAGGGAGTACATAGAGAGAGCAGTGAGCCAGTGATCCTCACCTAGCTAGTGCGTGCGCGCGCCCACACACACATCAAGCCAACACACCATACACACAGCAGCAGCACGCAAGCAACAAACACGCATGTGGCGCAACGCACACGGAGCCAAAGACACAACCAATAAAGCATGGAGCAGACGGTCATGCTTGCCGTCGAGCCGCTCACACTAAAAGGGATCAAAGAGTAGGACATTTCTATTCGTAAACCTTCTCATCGTAGGGAGTAATTATCAAACAGAGAAACAAAAGGAAAAGAAAAGCAAGAAGTTCCCTTCCTCCATCTGTTTTTTATTTTCTTTAACTTATATACATCAGACCAACACACAAGCACTTTATAAAAACATAATTCCCAATTCAAGAACACAGTTGAATATTAGAGCACCACATACTACTCTTCGCAGAGTAAAACCGGGCAAGCCAAGTCATGATTATGCTATTAGTCAGTAGGTACATTACACAGCTTGTTCATGCGAGGAACATCTGCTATTAGATTCTTATAGCCACACTTCAGGTTTCTATTTTCTAAATAAAAATAAGTGATCTCACTACAATAAAAAATAAACACATATATAGCCGACAGAATTACCCTGCAAAACTATCAGCAAGGTAGTAGCAAAATATTATACTATCCTAATCATGTTACTAAATTACAATTGACCGACTCTAGTCTAGGTTTCAAATTTGAAAAGGGAGAACAACTCACCATGTTGTTTGATTTCTTCTTGGATCCATGTTTCCTATCACCAGTCCCCTTCATGCCGCCCGAATCCTCATTGATCTCTGCAAATCTTTAAACGAAAGCATCCAAATAAGCAATATGTATATACTCCCTCCGTCCCAAAATAAGTGACTAAACTTTGTACTAACAAAGTAGAAAAATCAAATTAAGAAAAGCTATCTAATTGATGGAAGGAACTTCATTTTATAATGTAATTCACTCTGTCAGGCAAACTGTGATGTTTTAGCATCCACGGTCAAAACATCAACATAAAATTCAAATATTTAGACATGACAATAGCAGAGTTTTTCTCAATCATTCATGTGGGACAAAATACATAGAATGTAACAGTAGCACTTCTTTCTCATGTACTCATGTTGGGCAGAAAAAATATTAGATGTTGAAAAATCATGTTACACATGAAGCCAAATAAGCATTTCTGCATAAACCAAAAGGATAAACTCACCCTAGGGTAGACTGCAATCATCTGATAACCACATCAATCCTGTATAATCTATTCAAACAGATTCATAGGTCAAAATATGACAAATAGCATCCATTGTGTAGCTTTGTTAAGGGTATTGTTTGATGCCGGGCTGCAAAGCATAAACACTTGTTACTACATTTAAATCTATGCTGCTAAAAAAGATAAATAAGTGGTAAGAATTATGAAAATATATAACACCCTTTCCAAGGATTCCAAAAACTAAAAAGAAAAGGATGCCCAATATGGGCTCTTCTATATGTGCACTTTATATTTCCTATATGAAAAGGAATAAGGCATGAAACCTAGCAAGCAGTCAAGCGAACCTGACGGTACTGGTCTCTTGCCATTGAGGTCAATGCACTTGATTTGTCCATGCGTGCTACTGCCTTCATGCCGCAAGGCTTTCTTACTCTTGCCGTCCTCTCCCTCGAATGCAGTGTACATACACCATAGAAAAATGTAAGGAACTGAACATATGACATATCCTTCATCAATTCTTAATAAAAAACTAAAAGTACAGTTTTTCTCAATGGCTCATAAGCCTTCTGTTCAATCCTTTCTTCTCACAGAGAGTTTTCCTCTCCCTCTAGTGCAAGGAACGACAAGTGCATACACCATAGAGAGAATGTTAGCAACTGAACATATACCATGTCGTTCATTAATTCTTACAAAAAACTGAACTGAAAATGAAGCTCTTCTCATTGGCTCATAGCCTTCTTTTCAATCCTTGCTTCTCACATAGTGTTTCTAGATTCACAAATAACCAAATAAGGAGGCAACCAACAACATATAGTAGCACATATTAGCAACACAAGTAGAGTCAGGCCAAGCAGCAGCCAAGCTTGGCAGCAGCAGAACCAACAGCAAACACATATACCAACACAAATCAAAGGGAGGTGGGGCTCTTGACCAGAATAAGACTCTTCTCACCCTCTCTTTCTTCTCATCCTCCTCTTCCGAGGCTGCACCATCGTCGGCCAGCATGTCAATGTCAATCTTGTCGATGAGCTCGCCTTTGGTGCGGCGCCGGTAGCGGCCGGGACGGTTGGGGCCCCATCCCTGGGCGAGCGCCCGGACCCAGCTCTCAAGCCGAGCGCGGTCCAGCAGCCTGACGGCGGGTTCGTCGATGGCCACGCTGCCGAGGGCGTCAAGGAACTTGTGGGGAACGAAGGCGAGGCCGGTGTTGGCCCTTGTGAGGGCGTCGGCATCGTGGGCGGCGAGGAAGGGGTTGACGGTGGTGGCGGTGAGAGGAGACGAGGGGGGATTCTGGGAGGGGGAGTGGAGGCGCGCGGGTGGCGGCCCTTGGTCTTGGCCCAGACCAGCTCCCCGACAGCTAGGGTCTGGGGCCGGGGCTCGGGATCCTCGGTCGCCACCCTCCCCTGCTCCTTGCAATGGTGGCGGCATGGGAGAGAGAGAGAGGAGGACGAGAAGGAGTAGGAGAGGTGGCGGCGCGAAGATCTGCGCCCAATCCAGAATCATGGTGTGCGGCACGTGATGCCGGTGACCTGCGCCCGACTCGGCTGGACCGAGAACTGCCGCCCCCACTGCTGCACCTCAAGCGCCGGGGAGAGAAGGCAGCGTCGGCCGCCGCGTGCGAAGAAGAGGATGGAGCCGGCGGCGCGGCGGGAGGGAAGGAAGGGATCGGGGGAGGGGAGAGCACGGGAGAGAAGGCACGGGATATTTTTCACCCCGGTCGATCCAGGTTTTCATCGCTGCTCTCGCTCCCAGAAACCCATCTCCACAACGAGGAAGCAAAAAACCAGCTGATTCCTGGACCCCCACAGTTAACAAGGCCCACACGTCATTTACCTATTGTACCAGTCATGTATGTACAAAACAATCGACGATTTACCAGGCGCCAGCAGCCAAAAAAAATTGTAGCAGCTCGATCGGGTGGACCACGACGTCGCGCGCGAGCAATGCCGCTAGAATGGCGGGTACTCTAGCAGGCTTTATATGTTAGATTATGTTTGGTCTGTCTGTTCTGGTCACTATACTATCATAATACTCTGCCAAAGCTGTATGACCAAAAAGCTGGGTGCTTCACAGCTGTCCATTGCTAATGAGGGCAGTTAAGAATTTCACACCCTACTATAAAATGCACAACACAACTGGCAGAGTATTGTCGTACTACTAATGCATGTGCAAAGGATTACCAAAATCCACGGACCGACAGCCAAACTATCGTACGTCGTAGAGCAATAATGCTACACGTTGGCGTACAGCGGTGCCATGCGGAACACGATTCCAAACCGCACCTCGCTCGTCAGGCCGCCCTCACAACGACTATACCCCTGCGCCCCACCCACACGCGCACACCTTATAGTGCGGTCCGTCCCGTCGCGTGCTTTCACATCCATGATCAGGGCCTGCCTCAGCGAGCTCTGCGCCAGCTGCTGCTCCTGCGTGCTCCCGCCGCCGTCCTCGCCGCGCGCCGCCGACCAAGAGATGGACTCCGACGGCGCCATCACGCACCGCAGCGTCGAGGCCAACGGCGTGCGCCTCCACGTGGCGGAGGCCGGCCCGGCCGGCGCGCCGGTCGCGCTGCTGCTGCACGGGTTCCCGGAGGTGTGGTACACCTGGCGCCACCAGATGCGCGCGCTGGCCGCCGCGGGCTACCGCGCCGTCGCGCCCGACATGCGCGGCTACGGCGGCTCCGACGCGCCCCCCGGCGGGCCGGACCAGTACACGGCGCTGCACGTCGTCGGCGACCTTGTTGCTCTGATTGATTCGCTCGGCGAGAAGCAGGTGTTCGTCGTGGCGCACGACTGGGGCGCCATGATCGCGTGGAGCCTGTGCCTGTTCCGGCCGGACAGGGTGAAGGCGCTCGTCGCCCTCAGCGTGCCCTTCAGTCCCCGGAGCCCCGCGAGGAAGCCCGTCGACGGCTTGAAGGCTCTGTACGGGGACGAGTACTACATCTGCCGTATCCAGGTATGTATAGATGCCATGTAAGACTCTCGATGCCCGATGGATAACCATGAAAACTATGAACAAACATTTAGAAAAAAAAATTGTTCATTGTTGTGCTACCACAGGTTACAGTCCTTGTGCCGACCAAACCTGAAGCCATATAGCACTTCTCGCAGAAGTTTGTTAACAATTGGGTCTATTACAGATAAACATTTTACATGCTAGAAAACCGTCAAGCCCTTCTTTAGTTCAAAGAAATTGCGGATGAATTTTAGATTTTCTTTACTGCAGAGTTTTTCGGTTTGCAAGGTTGAAAATCATAGGATTTTTTTTCCTATGATCTCCTTTGCATACAATTTCAAAGGAAATGTTTCGTGTACGAAAATTCATAACGATGTAATGCACCCAATCCTTCAAGAAAGGAATTGTTTCCCTATGATGCAAGAAGACGACGTCTATTATAAATTTTATAATAATGTATTTTTTTCTTTCCGCATAGGATTCAATTCAACATGTTAAGTTAGGTATCAAATTCTTACATTTCTCTGTTCCTCTGTAAGGTTTTTCTCTCTCTCTTTTTTTGTGTGTGGATCCTCTGTAAGGTTGTTTAGAACGTAGAGTCAAACAACAAAAAAGTCTGGGACAAACTATAAAGACCTAGCGATTTTTGCAAGACAGGCCACGTGACTGGCTGCTAACAAATGTTGTTTTTTCCGTATATAAGTTTGGTTCCAATCACCGGGGAGTGATGAAGGCATTGGTTCTCAAGTTAGGTTTGGTTATTTTGTTCCCCACCCATCTACTATTGCTCAAGACTGCTTGATGCTCCTCTAGTTTCGCGACCAAGTAAATAACTGTTTGAAACCCACGTCTGGTATCAGCATCTGCTCAAGTGTGGCCGGCCATAACTAAAGCCATTTCCTTCCAGTTCACATACACTGTTCTCGTTGTTGCATGTGAAGAAAAACATGAGTGAGCTAGTGCTAATTTGCAGGAGCCTGGGGCAATTGAAGCAGAATTCGCACGGCTCGGCACGGAGCTGGTGCTAAGAAAGTTTTTCACTTATCGAACTCCTGGCCCTCTGTTTATCCCCAAGAGCGGCTGGGGCTCACCAGATGATGAGGTGCCCTTGCCGAGCTGGATCACGGAGGAGGACATCAAATACTACGCGAGTCAGTTTGACAAGTCTGGCTTCACTGGGGCATTGAACTACTACCGTGCCCTGAACAAGTAATTAAGCTACTTCTCTGACTCCTTATTTTTTTAGATATTTTTATCCGATGATTAGTGTGCTTTAACTATCACCGTAACCTAAATATGAATACCCAAACTTAAAATATGATTCCAAGCTTAACATTTTTTCCATATTGAATTTACCTGTCCAAGACTTCAGTTTTCCTGTTCTTCAGCAATGTTTGTGATCTTGTCTTATAAAACCAACAATGTATAAATGTAATTACCATAGATTTCCCAAACATATGTATGTTTGTAGAGAAGGATTGCTAGGACAGTTGGACACACGATGTTTTGGTCTAACAACCATAATTGGTCTATGTTTAGGACATGGGAACTCACGTCGCCATGGACCGGAGCTGAGATAAAGGTACCGACCAAGTTTATAGTTGGTGATGTGGACTTGTCATACCATGTTGCAGGCGCACATGATTTTATTAACAAAGGTGGCCTCAAGAAGTTTGTTCCATTACTGGACGATGTGGTGGTAATGAAAGATGTCGGGCATTTCATAAATGAAGAAAAACCAGAAGAAATTAGTGCCCATATAATCAGTTTCTTAAAGAAATTCGACTGAAATGAGGAGTAACGAACACATCATGGAACATGGTCAAAATGTAGATGCTTGATGGAAAATTTGTATTAAGCCCATTGTATTATTGTGTCGCACAATTTCACATATGTATGCAACTATTATTTTCTTTACATTTCACTCTTTGTTTAATTTTTCATGTCTAGTGCCGCTACCCTGCTTTCTAGTGTGTGTGCTTGGGTTGTTTCTTCTTAACTAAAATAAAAGTGACAGCGGCTAGTCACTGTCGCCCGAGTTCTTTTTTAATGTTTTGTGCCACTACCGTCATTATGTTATGATAATTCATTATTTCTGCACGTTCCACAGATATTGACCTATTTAGGAGATATTTGACATTCTAAATATCCTACATATTCGGCCACAAGATGCAAAAAAGAACTCCCAAGCTTTTTGGAACAAAGATCCAAGAGAAGAATGATTTATCAAAGCCCTCACCATTATTTCGACCTAGAGGTTGTTGAGATACGGTAGGCTATACTGACGCAAATAAAAAATTCTACCATGTAAATTGTAAAGCAAGAGTATGCAGCTATACAAGATCACCACTTGACGCATAAAGGTGTAGAGGTACTACCATGTTTTGAGACATACGTCCAAGATGGGGCATGTTAAAACCACATCTGCGATTGATCTATAGGCTCAAGTTGCTCTAAGAGTCAATTACACCATCGGTGCTTGAACTTGGTGTGAAAATCACTTTAGTACCAAAACTTGTGGTGTACATTGAATCGGTGTAACAACTTGGTTTCTTTATGCAAATACGGTGCAAATCATAGTTGAATACGCTGCATGGCTGACTAGGCATGCCAACGTGACATAGGGCCCACTGTCAGGAAGGAAGATGCATGGCGTGTGCCCTGTTAATTTGCGAAAATACCCTCAGAAGTTTCCTTGTCACGAGAAAGCCCGGTTTTTATCTGGTCACTAGTTCGAGTCCCTAAGCCATCTTTTTTAACTTGTATCAAAAATCTTAATTTACATTCTTTAACGAAAATGGTATAAAAGAGATGTATTCATATGGGACAACAAATTCCCCAGGCTGGCGTGGCTTTGCTCACGCCCTGTACCAACAGGTTCTCGGTCCGAGTCCGCAGTTTACCAATTTGTTTTTCTCATATAACGTATGTAGGATGTTGAGACAATTACTTATTTTTACCCAATCCCTGCAAAAAAAATCCCAAGTCACGAGCTTTTTTGTGAGTAGAAAAATGTTGAGCGTGTTTTCGCAAAGAAGCGGGCCACAAGTCTCCAACATTGGGTCGCTGACGGTGGACTTACGCCACGCTGTCGATGCCTAGTCAGCCCTGTGGGCGTATTCAGCTGAATTTTGCACCGTATTTGCACGCCTAAGCCAAGTTGTTGCACCGGTTCAATGTACACCATAAGTTTTAGCACTAAAGTGACTTTTTGCGCCAAGTTCAAGCACCGTTGGTATAATTGACTCTTGCTCTAAAGATCAACATGTGCTTGCGTCGCTCCTGGGGGACGGCACGGGCATAACCAAGCCGCCGCCGTCCCCACTCCCCGCTCCTTCATCGCTCCCTTGCCACCGCTGGGGGATGCCGACGGGCAAAGCCTGCTTGGCGGACAGCGGCGAGGGGGCCTCCTTGTCATGTGGCGTGCATCTTCGGTCCTGGATGGAGCTCCACTCCTAGTTGCGACTGGGCGGCGGCGGGTGCTCTCGCCGACGTAGGCAAACCGGGGCAGCGGCCTCGAGCAAGGTGGTGGCACTGCTCCTTCCTACTCTCTGCTAAGGGTGTACAGGGCGATGCTAAGGTCGACCGCCTCGATCTGACGCCTGGCGTTCGGATCTGGCGGTGGGGGCCCCCTGGCGTGTTGCAGTGACGGCACTGCGGCATGTGATAGGATATGGTAGGGTAAATCTCGATTACTAGCAGCAGTTCCTCACGGAGGTAGGATTTACTGGCGATTACAGGAGAGATTACAAGAATGAGGTAGCTAGGGTTCGTCATGGAGGAGAAAGGGGAGGGGATAAGAGCTGAGCCGCCGTTGCCGTGATCCACTGGAGCCCTTCCTCTCGGGTGCGTCGCCTTTAGTAGTAGTTGTTGGGTGCCTCAGTTGGCCCACTCCAGCCCGTAGACTCTTGGGTTGGGACGCTTAGGTCGAGTGGGTCTTGTAGCAGCCTGGTGGGTGCGGTCGTCGCTGCCTTGTGGGTCCCTGTTGTCGGGGGCGCTGACATCCCCTCCTCCTTGGGAAGAGGCTTGCCCCCAAGCCTCCGCATGCGGGAACCGGGCCATCAAGCTTGCTTTTATCTTCCCAAGTGATGCCCAGATTGGAAGAAGCTGACCATTGTATCTTCACTTGTTCACGGACGCCGTTTTTGTACTTACGCTAGCGGGTCTGAAGAACAGCTTCTGGCATAGCGAGGTCATCCAAGCAGTGTGGAAGGTGAGTTTTAGCAGTCGTACCAGGGAGGAGAGCTTGCGGGAGGAGTGAAACATGGAACACAGGGTGAATTGTTGCTTGTCGCAGGGACTTGTCAAATCGGGCAGTTGCCGAGGCAGTGTGGGGAAGTGGAGACACTCACGTCCAATCAACCGCCACGCGTCAACCGAGGCCGTAGGCTTTTTGGGGCCCGCGGCGCTCCGTGCTTGACCCTTGGCTTCGCCTCGAAGCCAAGCCCGAGCGCGCCTTGGGCCCGGGACTACTGTCGGCGTTCTGGGAATGAGGGTCCCCAGACTTGCCTGCCCGCGGTCCATGGCGTGGCCGAGCTAGCAGGTCCGTATGACTCATCTTCATCGACGAGGTATTCAAGACCCTCGCGAGGGGCCAAGCCTCGCGAGGCAGACGACATAAGACCTCCTCAGGAGCGGCCTTGCCAGGCAGGCTCGCGAGGGGCGGAGAGATCAAGGCAAGGCAAACCTCACGAGGTCCTCATGACGTGAGCCATGACGATCGAGACCAGGTGGGTGCCAGGCGGGCGCCAGCGCGCAGCGTCCTTGTTTCCTCTTTGGTGCCAAGGGGGCAAGCGCAGGCGCGGAGTACCGAGGCATTAAGGAAAGGTTTTCATATCGGTGCAATGAGACCAAGACCAGCAGGATGGCAAGACGGAGGTCACCATGGAGCCCAAGACGGCGTCATCACCAGAGTCTTTTGCAGGAGAAGACTACTTTTGTCAGGATAAGCTGTACTAGTTGTCCCCTTTCAAATTGGACGTTGTTGGCTCCCTCCCCGCTCAATATTCGGGGAGAGGACCAGGGCCTATATAAGCATAACTAGCCACCACAACAAGGAGAACGGATTCGGAGGGAGAGAAGAGGGAGAACTCATTCAGAGGCATCTCACTCACACAAGTTCACCAAGCACAAAAACACCTCAACCTCAGGAGGCTGTTCTTCCTCTTGTACTATTCATCATTAGCCCAAGAGGCAATCCACCATCACCACACTGGAGTAGGGTATTACACCACAATGGTGGCCCGAATCAGTATAAATCTCGTGTCTTTGTCTTGTGAGTTCGTCGAGTTCGTCTGTGAGATCTTAGAGAGTTAGGGCATGGATCGATAGGGAGAAAACCTTCACGCGCACCCCAGTGTTCGAATCTCAAGGGTTTTGCCGGAACCCGTGATCCGACATCGGCGACCCGTTTCTCCAGATCGGGACGCCATGCGACGAGCTCGTTGATCTTGGCCGTTGAGAGCTGGATCTCCGTGATTGCCTTGGACTAGGCCTTCGTGTTGGTGTCGAGGCGGTCGAGGAATGCTAGGATCGACGATCCATGGCGGTCAGCAGGGAACGCGCTTGCCGCACGCGACGAGTTTCGACGAATTGGTCCAGAGTGGAGTGGAAGGGATTTGGGCTGGTGTCTGATACCAGATGATATGATATGGTAGGGTAAATCTCGATTACTAGCAGCAATTCCTCACAAAGGTAGGATTTAGTGGCGATTACAGGAGAGATTATAAGAATGAGGTAGCTAAGGTTCGTCGCGGAGGAGAAAGGGGAGGGGATAAGAGCCGAGTCGTTGTTGTCGTGATCCACTAAATGCCCTTCCTCTCGGGTGTGTCGCCTTTAGTAGTAGCCGCTGGGCGCCTCAGTTGGCCCACTCTGGCCCGTGAACTCTTGGGTTGGGCCGCTTGGGTCTTATAGCAGCCTGGTGGGTGCGGTCGTCGCTGCATCGTGGGCCCCTGTTGTCAGAGGCGCTGACAGCATGCAACGGCTGCTGGGCGCGCTGGGTGTTGGGGTCTCCTCCCTCAGCTGAGGGAGCTGCAGTGGCGGCGGAGAGCCGCGGCTAGGTGTTGGTGTCTCATCCCTCGGCTAAAGGAGCTGTGGTGGTGGCGGAGAGCCGCGGCTAGGTGTTGGGGTCTCATCCCTCGACTGAAGGAGCTGTGGTGGTGGCGGAGAGCCATGGCTGGGGGGCGATGGTGGCGGCAGAGAGCCACAGTTTTGGACGGCGGCGCGGCGAGGTATGTGCTACTATGGTTGTGAAGATTGGTCTTCCGCCCCGTGCTGGTGCGCTCATTTTCTCCTTGTTGCATAACACAGGGTTGGGCTTGAGGTGGTTGTGGCTGTGGCGTGTGGCCGAAGGTGTGATTGCACGGCGCAGTGCTCTGTTGCGTCATGCAGGTGGGGTTTGGTGGTTGGCTGAAATGCTCTCCGGGCGGAAGTCTTGCACTTGGGCGTGAGGTGGTTGTGGTTGTGGCAGGAATTGGATGGCACGGCGTGGTGCTCCGTTGCGTTAAGTCGTACAGGTGGGTTTGGTGGTGGGCTGAAATGCTCCTTGCACAATTACACAAGTGTTGCTCTCCGGGCAACAGCCTTGCACCTTCTCCATCAGTGCTAGAGTTCTTGAGCACCGTGTCCCTTTCTGAAGGCCTCATCGTGGAGATACATTCATCTACTGTCGCGATTGTTACATGATTCCAGGTGAAAACCCAAACTCCGTCGGAGCGAGTGATGACGACATTTATGCCATTACCTTCTTAAAGGCATCACCTTGGAATCCTTACCCTTTGTGGGGTGATGGGTTCATAATAATTGTGCAGGTTTGCGTTGTGGTTAAGGCGGTGGATGTCAGGGCAGCGGCTTCGAACGATGAAGTACACCGATGCGGAGGCCTCGGGTGGCGATGCAACGGCGGACTATGGGGTAGGTTCACGGCTCTACATGGCTTGGGCAGCAACTTGGTGCTGCAAGGGTCACGAGGTCGTCGGCCCGACCAGACGTGGCCTGAGGGGTTGGCGATGGATGCCAGGGCACTGGCTTCGGGCGATGGAAGTACCCAGAGGCGGCGGCCTCGGATGGTGATGCAACAACAGATTATGGGGTAGGTTTGCAGCTCTGCATGGCTTGGGTGGCGACTTGGTGCTGCCAAGGTCGCGAGGTCGTCGGCCCGGTCAGACGCGGCCTGAGGGGTTGGTCTGGCGTTAAGTCGGGGCGGCGGCCTCGGATGTTTGGCACAACATTTGTGGTCTGTGGGAAGTCGGGGTGCCGATGGTCGTCTCGTGGAGCAAGGCTACAAGGCATATGAGCGAGCGGGGGATGTTGGAGCAGCGGTTTCGGAGCCAGCCAGGTGTGTGTTTGTTGCGATTGTGGCCTTGCTATGGTCGACGAGGCTTCGTTGCTTGTGGTTTTTAGCTAGGTTTTCCTTGTAAAATGGCCACTTTGTGAGGTTTTCGATCCGGTATTAAACTGAATCAACTTTCTTCTGCTACTCCCTCTATTTCAAAATATAGTGCGCCCGCGCTTTCCGAGGTTCAACTTTAACTATAAATTTAACCAACGAGACCAACTGCGGTGATAGAAAAAATTATACAATTAAAAACTTCTTTCGAATACGAATTCACTGATATAATTTTTGCTCCCGTCGCAATCGGTCAAAGTTGAAGCACAGGGATAGAAAAAGCACTACATTGTGGAATGGAGGGAGTATAATACAGTGCCAGAGCTCCTGGTACTCTGACGAGATTCGGTCAACAAAAAGAACCACATCTGAAACCACGGCGACAGGAAGTCAAATTATCAAAGACGACGGCCCTGATTTATTAGGCGAGCGCATGGGTGGTCGTGTTAATACTTCTCGATGTGCTTACAACAGATACAAGATACACCTAATAGTTAAGATTCCGCAGTCCTGCACAACAGTAGGTTATGCTCCTGGATCTCCCAGTGTGCCCAGGTCCTTGTCAGCTCCTCAGTGCACATGACCATGGTCAGCCTCGGCCTGCAATTCCATTTTCCCCAACAAGGAACAATTAGAAACAGAAGAAACTCGGGCCTCCGTGGCAGAGAGCACTGACATTCCTTGGTTACCTTGAGTATGTGCACCTTGTGGTCGGCGTCGGCGTGGCTGTTCCTGCCGCGGTACTTCCTGAGCTGCTCCCTGACGACCTTGTCGTAGATGAAGGAGGCGCCCTTGAACTGCGGGAGCGCCAGCCACGCCACGAACAGCAGCTTCACCGGGTACCACACCGGTATCCTGGACGCATCAGCAAAATAATTAGATCCACCGGCATCAACAAAATAATGAAATCAGTAGCTGGGTAAGTTACCAGTAGAGGACGGGCTCGGCGAGCATCTCCAGGAGGGTGATGAAGGAGTAGAGGATCCAGTAGGCCAGCCACTGCTCGTCGTCCACCTTGGACGGGCTCTCCATGGCGCACACCGACGCATACCTACAGTACAGACCCGTCAGTGCCACATCCAACACAAGGATCACCCATCAGTACTAAAAAGCATCACAAACGATCGATCAACTTACAGAGGGTACAGCAGCGTGATGCTCGGCCTGCGCAAGGAAACGAAGAGGCAAGAGGATATCAGGCAACACTCGGCATCTCGCCCGCAGGAAAGAGTCGAACACCATAGATCTGCAAGTAGATAGGATAGGATAGGATACGTACCCGGCGACGGAGTGGAGGTGGGTGAGGAGCGCCCATGACTTGCCCATTCTCGCCTTCCCGGCTCAACGCACCAGTCGCCGTGCGTGGGTGCCTTCCTACGCCTTGGGCGGAAGCACGAGATCTCGGGGAGAAGCAAAGCTCTATTCGGCCGACTGCCGTGAGACGCGAAGAATCAGTAGGAGACAAGCTGGGTGAGACGGCTTTTATAAAAGCATGCTCGCGGTGGTGGGCCGGTGGCGATGGCACCGGGTGCTTGGCGTGTACGTGGCGGCATCTGGGGGTTCTTCCACAGGGACGGAGCGGCCGACCTGACAAGGAAGGCACTCGATCCTCGCTTTTCGTGGTGGCTCCACGCTCCTTGCTTTGCATGTCAGGGTTCTTGACTTGCTGTCCTGGCTGCGAGGCTGTAGCGCTCCGCGTGGCGGCACGCCGACACGTGCGAGGGACTCGTGCCTACGCGCGGCGCCCTCCTGTCATGAGAGTACGAGTCTCTCGCATAGTTGCCATGTTTCCGGTACGGTGGGAACGAGGAACGGGAACGGGGGACGAGAGTCGGGGGCTGGAAAAAATAGGATACAGTGAGGGTATACATCTCTAGAACGATTTTTCTAAAACGGAAACGCGATCCAATCAATTCCGGTACGATGAATCCGGTACGATACCATGGAACGAGGAACGTGAATCTTTATGGGTGCGGGGAGCAACTGGCTGGGAGGGACCGAGGGAGTACTTATACAGGGAACTGACTGCATCGTCGATTCATGAAGACTAAAATATATTATCTCCTTCCCAATGGAAAATTTATTAGCAGCCTTGAAGTAATTGGAGAGCAGAATAAGGAGTTATTTAGAGGAATGGAAAAGAACGGGGCAGAAATTAAAAAGAGGAGTTCGTGATTGATATGGCTGACCTTTTGTTTACTCGATCGATTTAAGAACCAAGACTGTCGAGTCGCCAAACCTGAATCGATGATCCAGCTGCGGAAACGCCGAATCCGCATCGAATCTTACCGAATCGACCCTCGTTCCCGAATCTGATTCCGGGTCGATGAATCCGGATCGAGGGACGGCCCACCGTTCCCCGTTTCCGGCTACTATGGTCTCTCGCCCGGTGTGTGCTTTTCTGACTATTATTAGCCGAGATGTTGTGCTCACTCACATCTCAAGTGGCCCGCCTGCGCTAAACCTAGGTTTAGGTCTCTTTGATTTATAGGATTGCAAAAACATAGAAATAGAAAAACATAAAATTGAAATGGTATGTCATTGGATGCTATAGAATTTGAATTTGTTTGATTGTGTCATGAAAAAAATAAAGAATTTCTTTTAAAAGGTTGGAGTGGATATTAGAATTCCTGTAAAATACAAATGAATCCTTAGAAAAAATCCTACAAGATTCAATCCTACGAATCAAACGATCAACGTAAGAAAAAAATCCTAAGAATTCTAATCATTCAAAGATCCTATGAAAATTCTTTGAATCAAAGAGATCCTTAGGATTGTGGTCGTGCCATGACACCTACCTCATTAGTGCAATATTTCTCAAAAGAAATTCAAAAAATTAGTGTAGTATTTCTTCGAAAAAACCGTCATTGGTGCAGTACCTCGCGAGCTGCATTCATCGATGATGGAGCATTGGCGTATCCTATTCGGGCGCTCCTAACCGCGTCTACGCACCCTAAACCGGTCTCATATGTCCGAATGGACCATCCAGTCTGATCGGTCATGATTTTTTGATACAGACAGCCCCTCGAATAGCCTCAAACACCTAGCTGACCGACACCTCTCGTATTTAGCCCAAATATGAAATGGATATTGAAGAGCTCGGGCGCGCCCATCACGTAGGACTAAAACCTGGCGGTTCGACGGACGCCTCTTTCGTCGCCGCGATGGGAGCGCTGCGTGACGCCGCTCCGGCTTGCCGCCTGAGGCCAAATCCGGCTATTTAAGCCGGCCGACGTTCCCCAACCCTAGACCATCCACCTTCTCACTACATGGGAAAAGCCTAGCAGTAGCGCTGGTTTTGGGCCTAGCAATAATGCGGGTAACCGCGCTACTGCTACGACGCTACAGCTAAAGGTTAGCAGTAGCGTTGGTTGGCCCACGCTACTGCTATACATGGGTAGCACTAGCGAGCATTGGAGCAATGCGCTACTGCTAATAGCTGCAGCGCTTTTAATAAAGCCGCACTACTGCTAACCTAACTAGTAGTAGTGTGCTTCCTGTCCAGCGCTACTAGTACTTTGTTTTTATTTTTTTATTTTTAGTGTATTTATGTGCCATTATACAAATTTTAATACAGTACTAATTAAGAGGTTGTTATATTATTATGTCCATGATGAATTAATATATCATTGTGAGGAAAAAAATATGAATTAGATTCATTTGGATGAACCAAAAGTTGAATTAGGACGACGATCCTACTAATTCATCTTTTGGTCAGTTTTAATCCATTCACATGAATCTAATCCGTGTTTCTTCCATCAATGATATAATAACTAATCATGATCATAATATAAATCATAATGGTAATCATGATCAACATCATCATCATATTAATATAAAAACTTTTGCATCATATCATCACCAACAACACTAGCTAATAATCATCATAGTCATTAGCACCAACACTATTTAATCATCATAGTCATAGTGTAACTATCTAATCACCATCAACACTAGCTAATAATAATCATCATAGTTATTACCACCAACACTAGCTATTTAATCATCATACTCATAGTCTAGCACATCATCATATCCAAACTCATTCTAGCTAGCTAATCACTCCTGCTCTCTCTCTCTCAGGTAAAATAGCATAAAATATGTGTAGCACTCCTGCTTCATCATATTGGAGCATGCAGATGAATCTATCTCCTAATTGTGAGTTGCGCTTCTGATTGCTGCCCCCTAGTACTTCTCTGTTGCGATTCTTCATAATTTTGCTCCAGTCTTTGACTATTAATACTTGCTCACTTCAAGAAGTGATGAATGCACTCATGTGCAATGCATGATATCTTGGCCGTAAGCTAACCATTGTCATGCGACCATTAGCCTCGATCCAACGAGACACAAGAATCATCGGGAGTCCCTGTTAAAGAACATCATAGTAACATACTTAGCAATGAAGTTTAGCTTAAAAAATAATGTATACAAAAGATACACCGAGGACAAATAATAAAAATCTTACCATCTTTCCTAAATAGATGTGACTGTAGTTCAATACACACACTAGTGGTCGCATGTTTTGAGTAATAATATCTCGAAGGCCAGGAAAATAACATGTCTTGATAGTATCAAGATCCTCAAGCCATGAAACATAATGACCTATCTCCTCACAGTCTAGTTCAGCCTCGGGACAGTAGTAGGTGTTGTCTACCAAGGATCATGTTTGCTTGAATGGAAATAAGTTGTTAATAGAAATTAGTTGTCAACTATTTTTAAATAAACAATATAAATTACTTAATAAATATGGTTGAGAAACTCACATAATGGTAGAACTAGAGGCGTATGCACATTGACCCAGATGTCAATATTACCTTCAATTTCATCTTTCGGACGAATATCAAAGGTGATAAACATATTAGGCTCAAATACATAAGCCTTGCATAGTGCTCCCCAATTTTTGCATTCAAAATAGGAGTAGGTGTCTGCATTGTATAATTTTATGGCAAAAGTATAACCATGCTCGGTCCTCAAGTGAACTCTCTTTACCTCCATACTTTTCATAGTACTAAAACCAATCTTATCTAAGATATACATTCTTGCATGGCAGGGATACGATAGTAGAATTGGGAAAAATTAAAATTATAAGTTGAAGCAAAAGAAGCAGAAGTCATTCTTAATTACGAAAAAAGACTTGTCGTTGTGACTTACTATATCTACTTCAAAGGCCTCATCCATCACGATGTTGAAGCGCCTACCACCAACTAGGTGAGGCCCGTCGCACAGGCCGCGCTCGTCTTTGCAGTATTCGCACATAACGAATTCCCTTTCGTCGTCAGGCATTTCCTATGTTCATAGTTGAAACATTAATTGAAAATCGATCGAAGGCAACTACCAGGAAACTCAACACACATATCACTATTACTCAATATGCAACGGGTTGACTTTAGGTCTATCGAGTCTTCCTTCCTAAACTCCCATCTCATGTATATGGTGGGTACTCCCTCTCTGATATTGCGACCGTCGGTGATGGTCGCTACTCCTCCTTTCCCTAGTGCATTACAAATATCTAGCACAACGAAAAGAAGGAGAAGCGACCCCCATGACAAGAGTCGACATTCTTCTTCTCTCATATATGGTGGACACTCCCTCACTGTTTTTTCGACCGTCGATGATGGTCGCTACTCCTTCTTCCCCTAGTGCATAACAAAGGTCTAACACAAAGAGAAGAAGGAGAAGCGACCCCCACGACAACAGTCGACATTCTTCCTCCCTCAAATGTATATATGGTGGACACCCTCCCTCACTGAAAGACACACAAGGAGCCAAAACAGACCTAAAGTCAACTCGTTCCATATATCAAGCAATGACATAGAAAAAATGCCCTATGTTTTGCCGAAATATCATTGAATTCCCATTCTGGCAAATCACAAGCACTCGATATGCCCTACATTGTAGCACAAGTCATGCTAAAATTCATGAAAAAATTCGGCATGACCTTTGCTAAAGACAGGACATATCGAGCGCCTGAAATTTGCCGGGACAGAAACGAATCAACATTCCGGCAAAACTAGGCCACTCGGAGGCACATTGCAAACAAGAACACCAAGGCATCCTCTATATTCAGAATGCATCATCATCGACATCAATGACATGGCAACTAGCACTAGGATTTTCATCATTGACATTTACAACACATTATCATTTGGCTATTCTCACCTAGAGGTCTTAAGGGGACGACTGCGGGGATGATGCAGGGGCAAATACTTGATTTCTACATAAACAAAATATATTAACCACTTACTATAAATAAACAAATTCTATTAAGCACTTACTATAAATAAACTAGTTATGTTAAGCACTTACTATAAGTAAACTAGTTCTAC